TTTTGGATTCAAACCTCCCGCCATGCCTGACTACGAGAAGGGGAAGGCGCAGCAGGGTCGCTGGCAAGTATCGGTGACGTCATATGACGATCGGACTGTGATTGGGCCACGATCCTTACCTCCTCCCCGCTAGCTGTGATTGGTTTAATGTATGACGTGCCCTCCACGGAGGAAGAAGCCCTGACCTAGCAGGGCCTGTCTCATTGTTCTCAGTCCACGATACATTCTCTCTTGTGCCCGCTATTCCCTCACAACTCACAATGGCTTCCGCTGGGACCCCCACCACCAGAGAAAACACTGAATTACCTGGACCAAGCCATGATAATGTGAAGGAAATCATCGAGTTGGGGAGAAAATTAAGTCATCCTGACAACAACCCAGACAAGCATCGATGAAGGCCTAATAACCAACTGACGAAAGTTATGGAGCCAGATATCCAGATCTATCTCGACAAATATCGCTAGTCACATAGTATTGAGGACTTCTCGCCATAACCCACCACAACCACAGCCAGCCCAAGTCAGTGATAGTGACGATATGGACTTTGAGGGGTTTGTCTGGGAGGCCCTACAAACCTCTGCAAAGTAGTGAAAGTGATTCACCGGAGGGCAACTAATCTGCCTCTGCTCTCGAACCAGCGCCATCCATGTGTGTGCACCCAGCTTTTTACTAACGTAAGTGTTAAAACCTAATATTATTGATATTTCTCTAATTATTAATTATGTGTGCATACCATCATAAAATTAAGATGTTATTTTTACTACAACGCACGTACATTTTCGGCAAAAGTGGAGTTTGGGGGTCGGCCCAGTCTCTATTTCAATTAATCCCATATGTTCTGTTATTTCATTTACGCTTTCATTTTACGCGGGCCTCCACGGGTTCAATTGAACGCAGAATCCAAACTATACTGTACATTATAAAATTGCTGGAAACTATACATGATAAAATACACATATTGTACAGTACAATAGTCTAAATAAAAGTTTAGGGAGATGATGACCATACAGTACCTGTTTTGTGCATCTTCAGTTGGTGGGCAGATTTTCAAGACATTTTTTGTCCATTTGAGAATGAAAAATCAGAGAAACTAAATATATAATTTATATTTTCTTTTGATAGAATTTCATTCATTTCTTGGATTGTAAGATAATATTCACACAACTATGACATTTAACTAATATTCTGTACAAGCACCTTCTGCCTCAATCATGCTGGCTTGTCATCAGTGGCACCAGTGTCTTCTTAACACCTAAACCACTGAGCTACCGTTGGCTTAGACACAACTACCCACCTTACAGCTTCAAAATAGCTGAGGCCAAGACTGTGGAGAGTAATTACACTGGCTCTGGTCGTCTTGGATGTCTTTACAGTGAGTGACCAGGTCGTGACAAGAGTTTACATCATCGACTCTGTTGTTGTTCACAGACATAATAAACATATTACAATGACAGACTTCACTTCTGATAATTTTACAATAAATCAACCTTCAAATTTTGTTTCATTTTGCTAACTTTTAAATGGAGTTGAGCTCATTATGGAATATGTTTGGAAATATAATTAGAGTACTGTAGTACTGTAGAGTATTTCAAATGGGTAAAAGAAATGATGTGACAGTCACGCTTATCAACCCTATCGAGATGACAGAAGCAGTGTCAGTCTTAGGAGGGGGCAAGTCGGGACACTTGCCCAGGCCCTGTGCTCAGGGGAGGGGGCCTCACAGCCCAGCCACGGGGTCTGGCACCATGTGGGCTCAACCTCCAGTGTGCGAAAATATGTTATGATGTTGACCTAAGGCAGCTGTGTCATTATTCTTTACCAAAGGTGACGAGAAGATTTAATTTTATTTGAAAGTACTGTACAGTACTGTACTGTATCTACAGTTGACCTATGATGGAATATTTTTCCAATAATCCTGAAGTTACAATCAGGTCAGTACTGTACCTGCCACCTGCTGCTCAGCCTAAGTGTAAAAATTTATGATGGTACAGTACTGGGAGATTATGGTGAAGTGCAGCTTAAAAGCCATGACATTCTTTGGAGTTGTACAGCAAATTTATAATATATTTTCTGCTTCTACTCATAGGTGGCAAATTCTGAGAATGAAAGATCCCTCTGTAACTGCAAAACCCTTGTCAGAAACTAGGTGGGAATGTTGATTACAGAGTGTAACAGCAATTCATTACCAAACAAGTGATACCTGGAATGCCTTACTTGTTGTTGAAGAATATGACGACTTAAAAGTCAAGAGTGAGGCACATCGTCCTTGACCTGTTATGAACTCCAAAATTTTGAATTCCTTATTGGAATGATTTGTGTGGTACAACATCTTGTTTGCTGTAAACACAGTGAGTATGACTCTTCAAGCCAATGATATGCAGTTGATGTGGCTATCAATCATATCAAAGGAGTCATTGACTTCCTGCAGAAATACAGGAGCTGTGGATTAATTTCCACTAAGATAGCAGCCATAGAAATAGCATTAGAAATGGACACTGCACCTGAATTCAATTATCAACTGCTCAAATGTAAGACAAAATAGCATCCATCAATAAATGCTGATGACTCTGATGAGATACAGAATCCAGCCAAGAAATCATTTGAAACCAAATATTTTCTGGATATTATTAACCAGTCGCTTAAGTCACAAACCGATTTGAGCCAATGCAAAAGTACGCCAGCAATTTTGGTTTCCTCTACAATGTCAATAAACTTAAAGAAATAACAGAAGTGGACATGAACAAGCAGTGCATCAATATGGTGAACACGTTCAGTGGTGGAGATCCTCACGACACTGATGATAAAGACCTTTTCTCAGAGCTAGGTCTACTCTGGGAATTCATTCCCTAAGGAACAGAGCGCATTTTGAAACCCTTCACTTTATAAAGTCACAAGATGAATCCTTCCCAAAGGTAAAAATGGTATATAGGATTTTGTTGACAATACTGTACCAATTACAGGTGTATCAGCAGAGAAATCTTTTCAAAGCTTAAACTAATAAAAAAACTATCTCAGGACTAGTACCGTACGTCTCAAGACTGGCTGCATACAGTATGCTGTACCTGCTATAATTCCTATCGTAAAGGAAACGACATCAAATTTGGATTATCACCATATGATAACAGAGTTTACTGCAAGGAAGGCCAGGAAGGTGAATACTGTAATACACAATGAGCTGAATATAAATTATATAATATCCAGTAACAGACAACATAACATTGTTCAGTACTGTATGTATAATGGGTTGTCATCCTTCTGTATGGCATTTTAAAAATATTCATAAGAATTATAAGAACTAAATCGGTGTTAAGAACATTAAATAATGCTGCATAGACCTAACTATTGACACTATGCAAACATTTGATTTACACAAAAATAACAATGTAGATATTAAATTTTTCTTTTAATTAGAATTCTTGATATGTCAATTAGTTTATATTTATGAGGGGTCCCACACACATTGATTTGCCCTGAGCCCGCACTCTAGGACTGGCCCTGGACAAGAGAAGTAGTGTTCATTTTGAAATCCATTACACCCATAGGTAAATGTAGTTCATAGTCTGATTGTATAAGTTCCCTTAACAAAATCTCTCTTCTGCCATCTTGATACAAACTTAAATGATGTGGTGATTTCAGTCCCTTTTTCTTAGACAGTATTGTACAGTATAGGTGTAATAGTTCGTGAACCATACCTTAAGTGCCTACCAAGCTACTGAGGAGGAAGTATGAGAAGAACTGTGGTAGATATTTAAAGAAAAGCTGGAAATATTGATTTATTAATGAGTGTACCAATATGTGATGTTAAGATACATTATATTGTGAAGCAGTGATTTCAAACTAATATTTTATCACCAAAACCACATTAAAAAGCTTCACTAAGGACAGGGTGGGCTGAAAGGGCTAGACTGTCAATCCCAGAAGAAACTACTTTTCCCACCACCTGATAACCACAACCTACAATAAGGTGTATAATAAAGAAATTATAAACTGTGCATGTAGCTGCTGTACAGTACAAAAACTGTCTATCAAAACAAAAATCTAATCCTAAAGCTAATATATATTTTAATCTTTTTAATGCAATATCAGGGTTTATTGTTTACATTACATATTATTCAATTTCAATTACCCACAACCCAAACAAAATGTTACCCCCACATGATGGAAAATTCCCCCATTACAGACATCTCACGGCACTAATTATAATGGTGAAAGATGACCAAGTTACAAATAATAAATGTTTTAATCCACTTATATTGACATATTAACCAAATTATAACAATAAATAGAGTTGTATCAGTCAAACAATAGTAGTAAACAATTATTTCCTCATCTGCAACGGCTGAACATTATCAGATGTCTCCTGGACTATTAATCCACAAATTATTTACTTCATATGCAACATTTCTGCAAACCTCATAACAAATTACTGATTATTCTACTTGTGTCACATTTCCTCACCTTCACCCTAAAAAATCCAGTGCTCAGCTTTCATTACTATAATCTATTGCAAAATCAGTGAAATAACCTGTAACATTAAAGAAACCTAAAAATTCGCAAGTTATGCACATGACACACTTACAAATTCCCACCGCGAAACTGAAAGAATATTTTAGAGATTACTGATACAATGTTCACTTTCAGTATACGAGTCACAAACCTTTATAAAATGTCAAGGATCTTTTGTGTGACATTCCTTCTAACACTGCTTACTTATACCTATCAAATAAACACATAAATACGATGTTTTATTCTTTACTTTATAATCTATATCAGATATCTATATATTAACCAGCGGTGCTTACGGCAATAAAGAGAAAAAAAATCTTGTTAATTCAGCGAATGAAGAAAAATCCTTTACCATGAAAATCTACGGAGATACAGAGTCGGTTCTTCCTATCACATATTTTACTTACAACTGAACGAATATCCTGACTACAGGTATACTAAATAATCAACTAGTAATTAAGGGATAATTTAGAATAAAACAGATGGCCTCTTACGTCTGGGTTCCGGAGTAACTTGGATAATAAGGAGTCCCTTGCACTATCACCTCCGCCGAGACAGACTCTCCCACACCAAAACAACAACAGAGTGTTCCTATCCCTTCCTTTAACTTTTCCCTAGTCAAATTTCTGAAAATTATTATTAGTATATATGGTTTTTAATCTTTTAATATGATAAATCATCTATAATGTATTTATATAATTATGTTTCTTGACACAATTTTGTTTTATTATTTTTCAGTAAACCTGACAGTACTTAGGGCCTATCAAAGCGTTCGAATGCAAATCCCGTTTTCTTTTCATTTCCAATTACATATATCTACAAGCAGCATTATTCGGCCTTGCAAGATACTTCATGCAAGTGAGACTCATTTCTCCTTATCATTAATACTAAAAGTATATTTTATGATAACATATAATATTAGACAACTTGTAGGTCATCTCTTTATTTTAATCATAAAAGAAAACGTAGTTTCCTTTCCTACCACTAACTGGTATAAATCTAAAATTCATGTTTTTTTTACTTTTTTACTTTTATCCTCTTCGCCACTGATCGGCTTGTTAGCCGCTTGGGCGATCGGTCACGTCTCTTTCATTTATATTCTTCACCAAAAGATCGGCTCGCTAGCCGCCCGGGCGATCGGTCACGTCTCTGTCACGCACTGTTGGCAAATACTGGGCATGCACCGGCTCCTGAATGTACCTGAACCCGCTCCAGTGTTGGTCAAGTCTTCTCTTGAAAGAGCTCACACTCGGTGCCGTCACAACACTCTCTGGTAGATTGTTCCAAGAGTTTACAACCCTCACTCCGAAAAAGTTTGCCCACACGGTTTTCTGGACTTGCGGCTTCTTCAATCTTGAGCTGTGGCCCCTTGTGGGGCGAGCGTCCGCCAGCTCCAAGTAAGGACACTCAACTGAGTAGTGCCCCCTGAGATGCTTATACACCTCAACTAGATCCCCCCTTGCCCGTCTGTAGTATAAGCTAGGCAAGTTCAGGCGCTCCAATCTCTCAGGGTAGCTGAGGTGCCGAAGTGCAGGCACCAGTTTGGTGGCCCTCCTTTGAACATTTTCAACCAACTGACAGTCCCTAGCATATCTCGGGGACCAGATGGGGTGACAGTACTCCAGATGGGGAAGCACTTCACTCCTGAAGATCGTCACGAGGGACGGACCGTCTAGATATCTGAACGACCTTCTTATAAGACCCAATAATTTATTTGCCTGATTTACCTTCATCTCACAATGGCCCGAGAACTTCAGCTCATTGTCAACATACACACCTAGGTCCTTCTCACACACAGTCTCAACTAGTGCAGTTTCTTCATCCCGTTGAGACATATGATACTCCTCCTTACCGTTGGTACGCCCCAGGTGCATCCTCTTACACTTCGCGACATTGAATCTCAGCAGCCATTTCTTCGACCATTCCTGGAGCCCACAGAGGTCCTTCTGCAGCTCTTCACAGTCCGCTTGGTTCTTAATTTCCCGAAATAACTTGCCATCATCGGCAAACATTTGTATGGAGGAGTGTACAACGTCAGGCATTTCATTTATGAAACAAACAAACAACAGCGGGCCCAATACACTGCCCTGTGGTACCCCACTTGTTACAGGTACAGATGACGATTTCGTGCCATTAATCACCACACACTGCTTGCAGTCATGTAGAAAGTCTTCTATCCACGCTAGGACATTTCCCCGAATTCCGTACCCTTCTAGTTTGATTTTCAGCCTTTCGTGGGGTACACTGTCGAAAGCCTTGGCAAAATCTAGGTAAATATTGTCGATATTACCACCCCGTTCTAGAATATGGGTCCAAATATCCAATACCTTGAGCAATTGTGTTAAGCAAGAGCGCCCCGGCATAAAACCGTGTTGGCAATCTTTTACAAGGTTGTTTCGTAGTAGATGTTCCATCGCGGCATCTCTGATAATACTCTCAAGTACTTTACATATTATGCTGGTCAGGCTCACCGGTCTATAGTTGTTCGTGGAGTGACTATCGCCCTTCTTGAAGATAGGACTCACATAAGCCACTTTCCATTCACTGGGGACCATTTGTTCATCCAGGCATTTACAAAACAGAATCTTCAGGGGCTCTGCAAGCTCGTTGCACAGCTCTCTTAGCACTCTAGGATGCACCATGTCAGGTCCGGGACTCTTATGGACCTTTAGCCTGGACAGTTTATTTCTAATACCCTCTTCTGTGAACACAATGTGGGTCAGTGCTGTGTCGAACCGTCTGTCCTCAAACGCAGGAAGGTTAGTTGCATCCTCTCTTGTGAACACTGAGGAAAAGAAGCTGTTCAATGCCTCAGCTTTATCCTGGTCAGAATCTGCGTAACTACCATCTTCAAGCCTCAGGTCTGATACTCCTACTCGCGTTTTCAATTTCGACTTTGCATAGCGGTAAAACGCCTTTGGGTTTGACTTGACCTCGCGTGCAACCAGCCTCTTGAACTCCTTTTCAGCCCTCCTACACTCTATCTTTGTTTGGTTTCTGGCTCTTGCATACATCCTCCTGTCTTGCTCATCGTTTGACCCAACCCACGTCTTGAATTTCTGGGTTTTCTTCTTAATTTTGTCGACCGCCGCATGGTTCATGTGTAGGAATCCCCTCGTATTCTTAGAAGCACTGGGTTTGGTCTTGGGTATATATTTATTGATCAAATGGGTCATTTTACTAGTTATGAGATTCAGCGTAGTGTCTACGTTCTTGTACCTCAATTAGTCAGGCCAGTTGATACCCCTCATCTCTTCCCTCATCCCATTGTAATTTCCCTTGTAATATTTGCACCTTGGCCTGGCCTTATCTTGAACTAGGTAACAGTTAAATCTGAATGACAACACTGTATGGTGACTGGTGCCAACTGGGGCAAGGTGTTCCAGTTTGGCCACCATACCCTCCTCGTTTGTTATGATGAGGTCAAGTGGCTTGGGTGTTTGCTCCCCTCTGTAATGTGTCGGGTCTCTCACATGTTGGAACAGAAAATTATCTCTCAGAGTTTCTACAAAAAGAGTAGCAGGGTTATTCAAGTCATTCGGGGTGGACTCGTTTCTCCAGTCGATGTCGCCATAGTTAAAGTCCCCCATGATAAGGAGGTGGCTAGGGTTGAGCATCGCCGCATTGTTTATTAAGGTTCTTAAGTTCCTTTGATTTAGTGGGCCACAGTTTGGGGATCTGTAGATACACCCGACGATAAGTAAGTCCCCTCCCTTTAATTTAATTTTACACCACTTGGACTCTTCAAAAACATCCTCTCCCTGTACCCTCGCCTGGCTGGCTCTCAGGTCTTGCCTAGCGTAGATAACCACACCCCTCCTGCAGGATTCTTGAGTTAGGTTCGTAAATGAGTCATATCCAGCAATACTGAACTCACATTCCTCTGGGTCGATTCTCCTGTTCTTGTACAACAGTTCTACAACTCCTACAATATCTGGTTGGTGTACTCTTAGTAGTGTTTCAAACTCCTCTCTCTTATCAAGGAACGTGTCAGTATTAGTGTACATGACATTCAAGCCAGAATTTGTTCTCGGTAACGTCTCTGCTCTTAGTAATAAACCCGCTCCCCCCACATTCTCAGAAGCTGCAGCATTTGCTAAGTACACTGTATTTTGCAGGGTGTGGTTAGAAATGCCATTGTTTACACGGCGCTCGTTCCCTCATGTCCGGTAGGCTGAGCTGGTGCCGCCTCCCGGGTGGGGGGTTGAGTGGGTGGAGGGTGCACTGCTGCCCCCTGGCCCTGTGTCGGCACAATTGTTTCCACTACCCTCCCCCTGAGTATAACCCATGTACACCTGTCCCCGTTCCTCCTCGACTCCTCCCTCTTCTGCTTCAAGTCCTGCAGGATCTTCTTGTGCTGTTCTCTCTGCATTACCGTGCGGTCTGGGTGAATGAATACATCCCTAAATGCCTCGCTCCTTGCTAAGTTTTTTGCCTGCCGAATAACTTGCCATTTCTCCTCCTCACTCACTAGTGTGATCCTGAGGGGGCGAGGCTTAGCCCCCTGCTTTTGTCCCATAAAATATTTAAAAGCAGATGATTGTTCATATTATAATCAGTTATTGCAAATTATATTGTTGACTACGGAAGAATAAATTATATCTAAATACAATGAAGTAATGCTGTAAAAAAGTCAATCTACTGAGTGTAGTTTTCGTTGTACAAGCTGTAAATTCCAAATGTACTTTTTAATCACCTTTATCCTCTTTGCCACTGATCGGCTATATGTCAAAACGTCTTTCCTTAAACACAGGAAGATTGTTCGCATCCTCTCTTGTGAACAAAGACGATTTTTTTCCAACGCCTCCGCCTTATTCCGGTCAGAATCTGCATAAGTACCATCTTCGAGCTTCTGGTCCGATACTCCTACCAGCGTTTATAATTTTGACTTTGCGTAGCGGTAAAAGCCTTTAGGTTTAACTTGACCTCACTAGCAATCAGCCTCTGGAACTCCTTTTCAGCCCTCTTAAACTCAAACTATATTTGGTTCCTGGATCTGGCATACACCCTTCTGTCCTGCTCATCATTTGTCCTAATCCACGTCTCCAAATTCTGAGTTTTCTTCTTAACTTTGCGACCACCGCATGGTTCATGTGTAGCGGTAACCTTGTATTCTTGGAGGCACTGGGTTTGGTCTTAGGTATGTATTTATTGATCGAATAGTTTACCTTGTACTGCGTACATTAATACTGGTCTCCATAATCTTGATTCATATTACAGCTGCATAACATTCAAATTCACCGTGCTAGTGGAGTGTCACAGAAAACGGCAAACTTTTGGAAGGGGTAATTCGCATGCTGTATGTTGTTTTATACGAATTGTACCCCTGTACGTATCCATATAATGTTAAGTGTGCATACACTTACTTACTTTTACTTTTATCATTTTCACCACTGATCGCCTGGTTAGCCGTTTGGGAGATCGGTCACGTCTCTGTTACGCACTGTGTACTAAACACATCATTGTCATCCTTAAAATATCTTTAATTCATATTACGCTACATAACGGGGAGCTGGTGGTAAAAAGGTACCGTTCTTACCTAGCAAGCAAGATGTTACGGGTTCTACTCCCGGGCC